CACAATGGCTGTAACAACATTTGTATCCCCTTTGCAACCTACCTTGTATTTTATGTTGTCCTTCATTCACATACCACTTACCCATAACTTTGTATCTCCACATATATATATATATATATATATATATATATATATCTCAATTAAAAATACCAAAATTTGATTTCCTGCATTTCAGTCAACCTCCAAGAAATCCAATAAAATGCCAATGACTCTTGACATTTGTAGAATTCCCTTTGCTGCTGCATGTTCTAAGAACTTTTGTGATATTAGATCATAATTCTTGTTAAAACAAAATTTTGAAACTTGTGTAATTTGAACATTTTCTTTCTTCACAAAAATCAACTTCCAGGAGTTTTGTGATTTTAAATGATAATAATTTTTTTTCTTGCAGATTCCTTTTGATTTTTCTGTTTTATACAACATAGATTCTATTGGTTTTAAATTCACTTGTTGCAGGATGAATGATATTAGTTGGGTTTTTAAGTTTTTCTATTCCCATTATTTTATTAAACACTGTTTTCAATTGGATTATATTTATAAACAATATCTTAACATGCACACCTTTCAACAGGAGTTAAGAGATACAACCTTTTGATTGGTAGAAAATGGATTACTCCTCTTCTGGAGTGGACATTTGAACTACAGAACTCAAGTGTTTTATGAGTAATATATGTAAATAGAAGCAGATTGTTTCTTTAAATTGCTAGAAAGTTTAATAAATTTATATAAAATCAACAGCCCACTCAGCTTTACATGCAAATACTTCTGTAGTTAACTGTTCAAATCTTATCAGATTAAAAAATGTGGTTATAAATAAATGAATTGTTAAGTACTATTTGTCATGGATTTTATAAGTACAAAGGTTATAGTTCAATTTTTCAGAAACAAATAGTATTGCATATATTTGGGGGGGATATCTGATTTTAAGACCATTAATCTTAGCATCAGTATTACCATCTTTGAATAAATTTCCTCAGAATCTTGACTTTAATGGTTACCCTTGCATATAAAAAAAAAAAATTAAAATACTAATGAGTTTTTAAAACCAGGAACATTAAGCTGTTCTGTATTAGTATAAAACTTGATTTGATGAAATAATTTTATTTTGGCTATTACTAAAAATGTGAATTATTTTATCATTTCATCCTAAGGAAGGTAATAATGCCACCAAGATACAATGCAAAGGGTTACTGGAAGTGAAAGAGAATGAGTAGACTTTAGTTAAGAGAAAGGACAATAAAAGAACAAAATCCAGCATAACAGGAGATGGCAATTGATGTTGGATTTAAATTTTTGAAGAACATAGGAAACAAAGTAGAAGAGCTCCTCAAGCAAGAATATTACAGTGGAACTTTTGGTTACATCTATTTCAACAGTATAATGACGAGGCCTAATCGCTAATCTAGTAGTATGCTTAAATTCATGTAGCAGTAGTACCAAGGAGGAGAGCTCACTAGAACAATTGGCATGAAAATATTTATAGAAAAGACAGAAGCCTCATGTAATGCTGGTGGGAAAGTCACTGAAGTTGAGATGCCAGGTCATGACTGATAACATTACAAACATTTCTTTTGGATTTTGTCAAATCTTGATATGTATAGCAGAGGTGCCAAACTGTATATGGCAGAATTAAGGAATATGGGGATTTCTTTAATACAAGAAACACTGTGTGCACAGTGAATGTACAAATAGATTACAAAGAATATGAAGTGTTTAATATTCTTGAGTGGAGTGCAACATACCCAACATGATTTTTGCAAATTCTAAATCTGTTCTTAATGTATTTCTGTAGCCGTTTTGAAAATTTACTTTACTTATCCAACCATTGAATACTTTATCACTTGGTTGGCAGGAGTGAGACAAGTGAGTTTGTTACTCTAATCCCACTTCTTATTCCACTCCTAAACCCTGCCTATTCCTAAAAGTGAACTATGGTATTTTAAACTTTGTAGATTTTGAGAACATGTATCTACTCCATTAATTTCTCAATTATTATGAAATGCTTTTTATTATACCATGCAACCCAAATATAGTCCACAAAGGAGTGTGTGTATATATATATATATATATATATATATATATATATATATATATATTGAATACAGAATCCTTAAAAATCCATTCAGGTGATAGTTTATTTTGTGGACTCAGTTTCCATATCTTCAGTCCAAATTTTACAAGAGATGGATGTCTGAAATAAACTATCCTCTGAATGGATTTGTAAAGATTTGTATTCATTATTTTATTGCTCAGTTTTTACATTGAGCTCTTTGGATTTATATCTTACTTGGCATTATCTCTACTAATGAAGTGAGATATATATATATATATATATATATATATATAAATTACTGTTAAAGGCTAATGATTACAAAGATGGTCCTTTCTTGAATTAGCATTAGATTTTTAAAGAATAATGTAGCTGTCAGGTTTTGCATTCATAGATTATTTTGAACAGCTTGATAATAACATTGTTCAATAGTTTAATTTTCATCAAACTAAATTCTTCTGCAAGATTTAAGTGGCTGGGTTACAAGTAATTATAAATTTATCTAAATAAAAAAAACTAGGAGATTAAAGCTTACTTATCTCTCTAAACAAAGGCTTAAAAAATTTGTCATAAAAAAACAGCACTTAAGATCATGTAAATACTAATTACCCTGCTAGAATCAACATGTTTTTAAATTAACTTTTTAGTATTTACTCTGTACTCGATGGAGTACAATTTTAAGATGAAATTGACAAATTTTTATTTTCTAAATATAACTTTTAGTGACAACTTGCTATATTCAAGTGCAAATGAATTTCAAGTTTAGGATATTCGAGTAACTGATGTCTTTTTTGAAAGAAATGGATTGGTTAAATGTAGAAAAGTATCTGAAATATTGTAAGTAAACTTTTTTAGGTTATTTTTGTAACTATACTTAATTCAATCTAAAATTATAACCTCTGCATTCTTTTCATACACTGATCAACAATTTGCTCACAACCTGTATTATAAACTGAAATATAAAATTGCATTTGACTTTGTAGAAACCACTTCTTGATGAGGATTTTTATTTTTGTTAAATTAGAAATTTCTTTGCTTTCAATTCCTGGAAGCCATTTTTGATCATGTTATATCGTAACCTAGGGAAGGTTACTGAATAGAATAATCACACGAAGGTTGGTAATGAACGATAATACTTAGGACAAGAACAACACATATAAGATTTGCCAGTGGTGTGTAGAAGTAGCCACTGCTAGAAGTGAGTCAAGAGAATTCCACAATGAATTTCCAACTGCCCCATGTAGTCAGATGTGGCACAAGGCCAAATTTAATGTGTGGTATCCAAACCTGTATGCTCTGCCACAAATTCCCCGTAGACCCCGTATGAAACGGAGTCAGGTAGCTGTTTACTGAGACGACTATGCTCTCTGACATAGCCTTGTCTGAGGATCCTCTCTGCCCGGAGGCAGATAGTTTGACCAGCACAGCTGGAGACGAATCACCAACTGCAGACCAACATATACTACTATATTTATGTGAATGGGGACAAACCCATTGTCTGTAGGTATGCCACAACACATGTCCTTTGAAAAATAATTCCACCTCTTTTTATCTGAGAAGATAAAAATTAATTTCCTTATTTTTGCTAGGGTTTTTTTTCATACTTTTAAGTCTCGCTGTGGTAGTTATTTCATCATTTGTTCCTAGAGTGGGAGTAATTAATCCTTGGATGAAGCCTTCAGTAAATTCTGTGTTGTCTAATTTTTTTAATTGTTTATTGCTCTATCACTATTACCATAGAAAGTGCTTGGATGAATTGCATTTCCTGGTTCCACAAGGTCAGATCATCATGATTAGGACTTGCCATATCATTTACATAGTAGCAAACCACCCGCATTCCTACTGTATTCCATTGGTGAGAAGTAAATTCCACTCGAACGGCTTCCTGCAAGCCACTGCCCTATAGAAAAGACTCCCAAGAGGATGTTTCTCTGATCACTACAATCTTAACCTGTTCAAGTCTAGAATCATCCATTATCTGCCTCTCCTATCCAAATAAACTACCCTTAACCATCTACCTTGAGTGGCCTCTGGGCCTTGTACAAGTTGAACCTTACTGATAAAAAAAAAAAAAATAAAAAGTGTTAGTCCCCATGATGAATTATGGTTCAAAATTAAGGGCTTCCAATTCACTACTGGATAGTTCTATATTCAATAGATTTTCTGTTAGAATTGGTCATCCAATGTACTTCCATCTCCTATTTGAACACAGCATATTAAGTTTCTTGTTTGTCTCTGAATGTTCTTAATCATCTGTTCCATATCTGATTTTGCCATAATGTTGTTTTTGTGGAGTTTTAGTCTAACATTTTTAGATTTTTTAAAAATTTCTCCTTTTACTCCAGTTCTTCAATATAGGATTTCAGAAAAAAAATCCTATGCATAGGTTTGGGTGGGAAAGTGGTGGGATTTTCTCTCTCATTTTATATATAAAATGATTGTGACAATACAATTTAAAACCATATTTATTTTATAATGAATTTAAAACTAAACCCTCCAAATACCTTCTAAAATTTAGATTGAATTAAGTAGTTTAGTTACAAAAATAACCTAAAAAAGTTTACTTACAATATTTCAGATACTTTTCTACATTTAACCAATCCATTTCTTTCAAAAAAGAACATCAGTTACTCAAATATCCTAAATTTGAAATTCATTTGCACTTAAAATAGCAAGTTGTCGCTAAAATGAAACTTGCCTTTTGACCTGCTCAGTATCTTCATTTGTTTTAAATCTTGAGCCCAAATTAGTTCTAAGTATCAGCAATTCATTGGATTAAGCAATTTCAAATGGAGGTTTTTGTTTGTTTTGGGGGGAGGGTGCATATATATTTATTTATTTTTATTTATTTTCTCTTTAGATTGGTAAAATATGAAATAAATTTTGATCTCCAAGTAGTCATGCTTCTATGCTTATAGAAAAACAATGCAAATAATCATTCTTATTTCAG